CTTTCACCGACTGGGAACCCAGTCTACCAAAGAGTGTGAGAACGAGAGAAACAGGGAGATGGATGGAGAGGAGGGAGTTCGAGCGTGAGAGAGTAAGGGCGATACAGAAGGGGGTTGTAGAGAAAGCAACAGAAAGAATGTCACTGCACAGACTTCACGAACCGTATAAGTCAAACTAATACTCCTAATTATATGTCTACACATTTTCTCCGGCTTCGAATGCAGGACGAAACGTCATAAAACGAACTTTAACCGATGCAGATTTCTGCGGGAAAAAGGCGAGAGCTTTCAGCAAGCAGTCAACGCACACCGCGACAGGAACAGCGTTTAGTAAAACTGCTGCGTATGATGTGAGAAATGATCAACACGAATGACGCTTATAGCTGGCCACACGTGACGCCAATCATTATCCCCAATCGGACCAGGCATTTTGAATCGGGTAATGACGTTATCGGCTGATCGTTATAATACGGCACTGACAATGGTGCCAATAGTTACCTCCGATGCGAGCGGCAGCACTGCTGCATTGATCCTTCGATAATTCGCCAGCGGAGGAAATGATACATTGTACCTAGATGTAGAGCGTGCATTATTCAACGTGGAACATTGCTGCACGGACGCAAAACACGACCGCGCACGCTACAGGAAACCGTACAGACGGGGAATACTATTGCCTAGTATGGCTTCACCAAATATATATCCTTCCCATCAGATCGGAAGCGTAGTGATGATGATGATGATGATGATGATGATGATGATGATGATAATGATGATGATGATAATGATGATGATGATGATGATGATGATGATGATGATGATGATGATGATAATGACGACGACGACGACGATGGCGGCGGCGGTAACGACGGCTGTGATGATGACGATGATAAGGATGCATATGATTGCGACGACGACGACAGACCAACCAACCGACCGTAATGACAACTATATCACCGTAGTTTTACCTATGGCTAGGAAAATAGGTGTCTACTGGGTATTCACAAACATCTACGTCGATGATCTACGTGCTATTGGCACCCCAGTAGGAAATTCAAACTCGAGATTTATACACAGAGATTAGAGACATTTAGAGAGAAAGAGAGAGAGAGAAGGGGGGAGGAGGAGGAGAGAGAGAGAGAGAGAGAGAGAGAGAGAGAGAGAGAGAGAGAGAGAGAACCGTACAGACGCGAATATACACGAAGACACATACAAAGGCCCGACCGCATACGTTGTTTACCTCGTAGCCAGCTACCGTATCCCTACATATATGCATCAGATTTAGTCTGACCGTGTACGATTTCGGCTATACATGCATCAGCAGACCACTATGCACACCCACCTGTACCAGCAAAACCGAACTAATTCCGCACGTTAGGCGTAAACAAACCGCGCGCTCTCTGGCGGCGTCTGCGCGCACACGCTCAACGACGGCGACGACGATGACGATAGTAAATTCCACGAGAGTCACTGAGGCAGTGGTATCACTGTGACTGAGTCTTTCCCCCTGGCTTCACGGCTAAATATTCCGAGTGCTCATAACAGTACTTGCCGACGCTTTTGCGGTGGTTTCGCCGCCCTGGAGGTTGTCACAAAACACTGCTTTCATTTCTCTGTTCTGACATGAACATATCTCGACGCGTGCGAGAATGCGCTCTATATTTTCGAAGCTACGCAAAATAACAGCGATTGCATTTCTAGTTGCTAGATGTGATTATGGAGGGATTTTGAGTGAGTGAGGTAGAGAGAGAGAGAGAGAGAGAGAGAGAGAGAGAGAGAGAGAGAGAGAGAGA